ATTTGCCTATTGATCTCACAGTTCCAGCATTGATAATTTTGTTTATAATGATGTTTGAACTTTTCGTTAAATTTGTATGGATTTTGCAAAAAGGATGACCTCTTAATTTCAATTCCGCGTCTATTTTTGAGAAAATATTGAAAAAAAAAATAGGTAGTATAATGAAATTCAGCCATGTGAAGTTGCATGCGCAGTTCACGTGGGTGGATCGTGATGGGGGGACCTTGCCGGGTTTGATAGTATCAATCAATCCCATTGTGTTTTTCAGTTTTTTTTTTTTCTTTTAATCTCATTTACAACTAATTCAAACAGGTTAATTATTTCAAGATTTATCAAAAAAGCGAGGGAGATTTGATTAAGTTCTCTTAGGTTTGCATGTGGGATTTTGATTTTTGAGGGGGGGGGAGAAAAAACTGGTTAGATCATGGAAAATCTGGGCGTGGCTTGTTTGTAAATGATATAACTGGATTCATGTCAAATCAAATGCATCCAAGAAAAACTAAGTTAAAAATAAAGGAGTATATAAGTCTGCTACATCTTAGAATTATACCCATAACAAATAATAAGTGATTGATGAGTGTATTTGAACTAACTGAATAAAATTTTTCTCCCTCGTTTATTTTTACATTATATATATATATGTGTGTGCTGAAAATGAATTTTTCTGGGAGGAATTTCTTGGGAAATTGATGGAAAAGAAAAAGGTTGCTTGAGGTGGAGACTTTTGTTTGTAAAAGAAGAGAAAAAGGAAAAGTGGAGAAATATATGCTTCAATGACCTCTTATATATATATATATATATTCAAAATCTACTTTAGTGTGATTTCTTGTCATGGGGACCTCCTTTTCCTTTTAGGAAATGTCTTACATGGAAATGGAAAGCAATAATCTTTTCTTGAAGTGACCTTTATGCATGAATGAATTGGGGTTTTCTTTTAACATAATGTGTAGATAGATAGATAGATTCACATCTCATCTAATTTTGTTGAATATACTCTTATATACATATATATTCCAAAATTCAAATCAGAGAAGCTATTAATTCTTGTTATGGACTTTATATTTGTGACAAATAAAAAGTAATTAAGAACCATTTTTAATTTTTGCCCAAGAGAGCTCAAATATGAAGAGTGAAATACACTTTTGTCTTGCCCCTTCTTTAGGTAATTGGGAGAATTATTTCCATCACATATGGCTTTTAGTATTGATTCTTCTTTGCTTTTTTTAATTTTGTAGGGATATAGGTTTCTTGTTTTTGTCTCTGCAAAAAAAGAAAAAAAGAAAGAGAGAGAAGAACAAATATATATATATATATATATGATTTATAGAATCAAATGATTTAAGGCCAAATTTAAATTTTAGAATTTGTATTTTAGAGATAGGCCCAGGTAGGCTTTCACATCATTCTCAGACAATGGGATTGGGTTGTTGACAAAAGAGTATTACTCAAATGCATTGCAGGGGAAACTCAATTTTTCTCTCTCTCAATAGGCCCTCTTTTCTTTTCCTTCATAATTTCATTCTGTCATTATTACTTTTTTTTTTTCTTTCCTAAGATACATACACCCACATCTACAATATATACAAATATATCTCTATAGTTCAGGATTATTGACTTAGTGGCAACCTATTTTCTGCTGTGTATGTGATATGTTGGCTAAATTTTTGTTGTGTCAAATTGAGATTTGATGAAAATAATACAGCTCTGTTTCTTAATAGTGTTTTCTGACAAAAGTAATGGAATGCTGGAAAACAAGATAAATTATTTTCTTTTTAATGAGGAAAACATATGAAGAATAATTGTAGTCTACATCACCCACTTTTCTAATTCTATTCTTTTTTCCCACACCACACCCATTTGCTATTTCTTTCTTCTCTTGAATCATGGCAGTTCTTGTACTAACATAGCTGTAAGGTAAAGGTATCTCAACCCTACTCTCTTTCTCTCTCTTCTGTTCTTACTCTATATTTAATAATTTTTTTTTATCATTCTTTGTGTTTGATTTTCTCTTATTGTGATATTTGGCTTGCTTTCATCACATGCCTCAGAAATTTTATAAAATAAATTTCAATTTGTTGCAGCTTTATCATTCCTTTATCCTCATTTGCTTTCTCTTTTTATTATTTAGTGGAAGATTATGTGAGATTTTGCCACCTAGCACATGATTACTTGTAAATGGCGGTATGTTGGGTTGTGAGGCAAAAAATCAATGCCACCAAACAGTCTTTTAAACCTTTTTAAATCCAGAAGGCCATACATGGGTGAATCCGCAATAAGTAATTCATCAACCCTAGTTAATCTTTTTTTCCCCAACTCCTGTAATTCCTTCTCACATCATGCATTCATTGTTAATGATAATTAGAATCATCTTGCATGTGAACATTTTCTCAAACAGTTGGTGGGTATGATTATTTTCTTGATATTCAGCTGTTATTACTGAATTTTATATGATGTTTGGTAGATAATTTCATGTGGATTTGTATGGAATTTGGGTTAAAATTATTTAAAGATAACTTTTTAAAGTACCCAATTGGGTATACTCTGTGTTTTCGGCTCTCCAGACAGGAAGGCCCATTCTTCTTTTTTGTTTTATTTTTTTAAGTTTGCTTGTTGAGACAGGATATAGTATTGATTAAGTTAGGCATCAAGATCATGAACATGAAGGAGTAGAAAAGAAAAGCGTAGTACTGGGCTGGATTATCATATAACTTTGTCTTTACATTTTCTATTTGAGTATAAAGCTACTCTGCCTGCTTACATTGCTTAAATAATTCATGGAGAAGTGTGGGTGTCTTGTTTTTCCATGGCAGTTAAGCTAAAGAATGGGGGGACTAAGATAATGTATGCTTCTTCTTCCCAGGACCAAAATCAAAGCCCTATTAGCCCCCATTAACAAACAGGTTTGTTTATATTAGTCTCCCCTGCATCTCTTCTTCTTTGTCATTTAAATTGTGTCATCATCATAAACTACAAACACACAGAACACAGTGGGTGAGTTTTTGTTTAAGCGTTCTTTTCATGCCATTAGCTTTTCAGTTTCTATGCTGAAAACCCATCACGTTTTCTATCAGCTTTATATCATTTACTTGCCATTTCTTGCCTGCTCAGTAGCAGTCCAAACTGAAAGCACAGAGAGGGAAAGAGAGAGAGAGAGAGAGAGAGAGAGAGAGAGAGAAGGTTAGCAAGTAAAAGTGGCCTATTTATGTATATATGTAAATCTATGTTAAGACTTTTGATATGTTTAGATTTCACTGTCTTTGGTTTTTGCAGTTTTTGTTTAGTAATGATTGTTGAAAACTTTCTGATTTTTGTTCACTCCTGTCAGTGCCAGCAATGTAGATGATTAGAGTTTTCCTGTACGCTCACTCACCCCATTCTGTACAGTTTAGAATGTTCTTTTCTGCTGCCATTTTTCCTTAACCCACCACTAACTGATGTTACTCTTAAAAAAGATTCTTTTCCTTTTCTTTTCCCATTTAATGTTTTTCAGTGTTTCCATTAATAATCAGTCCTTATCTGGTTGTATGCTCAGGTAACATCATAATTTTGAAGATGTAGTTCTTACCTGTTTCTGATTATGATCAGCAAATAAATTGATTTTTGGCTGTTGAAGCCAAGTTTTAGTGGTGTGGATGAATTGAAGTTGACATGATTTGATGAGTGTCCTCGTTGTTTTTGACACTTTTCGGGACTTTCTTGTTTTTTATTGTACTTCAAAGAATCTCTCTATTACTTCATTTTTTGCAGTTCCATGAATTTAAGCTTTTGCTATCTAATCTTGTTCCTTCTTCAGCTTACCATTATATATATTGTCAAATATAGTTATCATCTAGGAAATCAAGAGGGCATTACCAAGTAGAGAGAAGTTGCAAGTGTATATCTTGTAGGAAAATCTTACGAAATGCTGATTGATTGTGCTTGAAGAAGAGCCTAATGTTATTATGCCAATTCAATGAAATTAACAGATTCCACGTAAAATTTTAGTTAAATGAAGTTGGAAGAAAGCAAAAAAAGCGGATCCAACTGAAATTTCAATCGACATTCTCTGTAAGGGAATAATATTTCCTCAGCATTTCTACTCAATCATGACTAGTAATTTTGTTTGTTTTCGAGTCATGTTGATGTTTATCTAAATTCAGCCTTAGTTTGTTGGAATTATCATATGCAATGAACTATGAATTAGCAAGTTGTCAAGTGTCTGTCCTCCTTAACCAAAAACAAGTGTCAAAACAACCCTAATTCAATTGTCATTTCATTTCATGATTCGAAAGACTTACATTCTATTGATTTTATCTGCCAAGCCCTTTCATTGAATCTAATTCTGTTATCCATCTTTCTTCTGTAAAATATTAATTATCATTCTTATTAAATCTTTTCAGGAACTATGTCTATGGAAAAGTGGTTGTAGCTTAGACGAAATAATGATTGCAGCTTCATGTTTTGACCATCAAAATCAATAATTTCCTCTACTGAGAAAAACACTTGTTCCCTTCCAAACCCGACCTAGAAAGCAATCAAGTTTCATCAAACAGCCATGAACGAGTTCAGTTCTGAAAGACCGAAACCTTGGAACATATACACCAGTTCAGACCCCAGCCCTTCTCAACCAGTTGTGGATCGAGAAGCTCCATGGAAGAATTTTGGGACATCCATGAATGCAATTTCTTTTGGTTTTGTTGCCACAGCTATCTTGATATCGATGTTCCTTATCATGGCAATTTTTGAACACCTATTCAGGCCAAGTCCTTCTTTTTCTTCACCTGAGCAAATAATCCAAGCCTCTCAAGGTTCGAGAACAATGGGAAAACTCGGAAATCACCAAGCAGTAAGTCTCTGACCAGATCCTGGTCTTTTTTTTTTTCTCTGCATTTTTCTTGTGATATCTTTATGCTTCTTCATTAGTTATATTGTACTGCTTAAGTGGAAAGTCGTTCAGAAAATAGATGAGTTAAAAAACAAAGTGACTCAATTCAAGTGATTCGTCAAGATGACTCAATGTCATCTTACTTCCAAGCTGTAAACATGGCTGTGAATATAATTTGATGATCGAGTAAAGTGATGAAGTTAAAGCGTGCTAAATGTGATCTTGTTGGGTATAGGTCCCTATAAGTTACGCACCAGATTTCTCGGTACAGATGCCTGGACAGCAATATCCTACGTACATCGCACAGCCTGCACCGTTGCCATGCAACAGAGAAGGCATATACTGGCCATCCCATGAACATAATTTTGTATTCCCTTAGCCATAATAATATAACCAATAATAGCACCACCCACTCTATGTATATGTATGAACTGATAAATTCCCAATCAGTTGTACTTTATTTATGTGTATGTATACTCAAATTGAACCGAATGTTTACATTTGGAGACATGTTATCTAACAGAAATCGCATTTGTCAGAATGTGTTAAAAAGTGATCGGTGCTCAAACTTTGACAGTCAATTCATATTTATGTGTAATATGAAGTCTAGTCGATTTAATTTAGTTCTGAGTCTAACCTTGTAGTATGCGGAAGATAGGTTTTGGTACACAAAAACCTTAATTCAAAATTGTTAGATGATAGATATAACCACAATTCTTCAATATCTTGAAAAGATGAAATGGAAGGGGGAGGGAGATGAGAAGAGATTGCTTTCTTTCTTTTCAATTGAAAGAGAGATGGGAAACTTAAGAAAAGAAAAATTTTATATATGAAGTCGTGTGTTTTATTCATGAAAGCACGTTGCAGAATAATTATATTATAAACAAATATAGCATTCTAAAAAAATTATATATATATATATATATATATATTATGAATACATACCATTTTAAAATTATCTAATCTTGCCGATATTAATTTAATTAAAATTTTATGATGTTATGAATAAAATACTTCTTATATGCCAAATAAAGAACTACCTAGCTGTGCGTAACGTATAGGAAATAAGAGGATTGGGTTGTCATTTTACAAAATACTAAGTAACTAGTAAAGATGATTTTCTCCTTTTTACCAGATATCCAATGGTTAATGATACAACTAGAAAAGTAGAGAAGAAAAATTAGAAAACACCTCCAGTTACATTCAAAACTTCAAAAACACTTTTTTGCCTTATTTTCATTTGTAAAAGAGAAAAAGGAGATTTTATTTGAAGTTTAGTTTTTGTTTTCTTTGGCACGCTACTCTTATTTTTCTTTTCAACTCTCTCCCCAATTTGGCAGGAGGATGTAAGGAAATATAGAGTTAAATTTTTAGCTTTCGAAAATAAACTCTCAAACAAGTTAAACCATTTTTCATTCCCTCATTTAGCTAAACATCTTTTTTTGAACAACTTGGCTTCGGATGACTCTGGAAGCAAAAACTACAAAAGCAGATATCAACAGGTGAAAAAAAAAAAAAAAAGAATCTACATTACCATACACCAAAAATTACAGGTGGTGAACTCACAAACAACAAAACAGCCAACCTTGATTCACCATCCCATCAATCACTACTCACCTCTTTTCCTCCATTCCAACATTTTGGCCCACTCTCAATCTTCCTCCCCCTTTTAAATTTCTCTCCTTTCTTTCTTTCTTTCTTTCTTTCCTTTCTTTCTTTCTTTCTTTTTAACTTCTCTCTCATCAACTGCCCAGAGAGCAACCAAAGGATAAAAGAATCCGCTAGTGCTCCTCTACATCTTCTTCATCAGGTAATATAACAGTTAGTAAAGAATACTTTACCCGGAGAGAGATCCTCCCCTTCTCTACAACTAGTCTTGCCCCAGAAACAACCCAATACCCTGGACTCTCTTGCGGTCCTCTGCTCATCTCTGTTGTATCGACAAATTTTAAAAGCTTAGGAGCTTGGACTGGAACTGGAGGTCCCCCAGGGTAGACTGCTGAATTTATATTCACATCAGCCGGGCGAGGAGGTGGCTTCTGAACAGTCGTGAAGTGATGGCTGATTAGTGTTGAAATAAGTCCAGATTTTGGCGCTAACCCTGGTGATCCATCCCATTCTGGGTGTTTATGGACCAAGGCCCCCAGAACAGTAGAGAAGCGCAGGCGTAGGAAGAGGATATTTTTGAACCCATAGTTCTCAACTTGAAGCTGGGCTCCAGTTACGATGGAAAGATCCTCATCAGACTCCACAGGTGCAGTGCAGACATGAGAATAGTTCTTCCAATAAACTTTCTCAAAGTATTTCCGATCGTGGGACTCCTGGCGGAAGTTGCCATTTGGGTCATCTTCGAGCTGGATGACTTTGGGAAGAGAAGAAAGGTGCTGCAAGTGGATGGCCAAGCAGTTGCTTCTTCTACCTTCTAGATAAAGCCGTAGGCCAGTCACTGGCCTCTTACCCACATCAACCTGCCATGGGATTGACAAACACCAATTTAGGGTTTGGGGAAAAATGACTGACATTGCGGAGCCACTGACCAAACTACTGCACTAAAGACGTGAACAGAAGTACCAATGTATAAACATCCTCATTACTGTTGCAATGTCCTGGGGAGATCTAGACATGTTTCAGATCAAATAGTCCTTTCCTTAAGGGACTATATCTATATTTTTTTAAATATTCATCACTATTTCCTTAAGGGAGAAAGGACTATGAAAGTGAATTACAAACAAGTACAAGTTGAAAGCTATTCTGCAGATGAGTACACAGCATCAACGTTCTGTCAATTTGATCTTATTCAGAAAATATTTACCTAGTGCTAATAGTCTTCCACATTCACACAAATATAAAATTCACAAAAAGGAAGGATGAAGAAATCCTTCCATGCAAAAATGTATGCTATAATTCAATTCACCTTTGTATTGTATCAGTGACTGCACAGCACCGTGGTATGATGCTTTGTTTAGCTCAAACACAAAAGCCTAACTCATTTACGAGATTATATGTGAATATCAACATTCGGATGCAGTGAATGGAACCAAGAACATTCAACATGAAGAGACACATTACCGGAGCGGTGTTCACATGGAGCTTGGGCCCCATGAAACTGAACTGTAAAGATGCAGTACTTTGTTGCTTCCTTTGTGGACCAAGGGGAAGTTCACTAAATACTGGTGCCCAATGCCTTGGCAGTTGAAATTCCAAAAACTGATGTAGTTCTTCAATTGGTGGTTTATCTGCGAAGAGTCATAGCTTAAATTAGTATGAGAAAGTAGTTTCTACCAGTCTCCAAATATCATTTGCAAGTATAAAAAAAGCACTGGATTTTCCCATCTCAAGAAACCATTTGCAAGTATAGAGTAAGTACCGGATACATCATTTACTTTACTTTTAAATGGACAGAAATCTTATCAGTTGTTTCATTTCACTCAGTATTACGTGAAAGAATTGGAAGAAAAATACATCAGCGGAGGACTAGGCATCCTCCAAAATTAAGAAAAGTACAAAAAGTTAGAAATTGCCAAAACAAAAAACAACAGCCTTTCAATCTCATCTTAAATAACACAAAGAAATGTCCTTATAAAAACCATGTGTCTTCACCCAAAGATAAAAAAAATGTACTTATCCTAAATTGGGAATGAAGAAGAAAATTGGTTCTCAAAATCCAAGCGTTTCTTGACGACCATAACAACCACAACCCAGCAAAGGTACCCCTTCAAAGCAGTTTATCCACTCTCTTCTTTCCAACACCAAGCAGGAAAGAAGAAAAAAAGCACTTATTCTATATCATAATGAAAAAATAAAATAGAATAATGATATGCCCAACAACTTTTTGGAGATAAATCCTTTGTCCTTAAAAGAGAGAAGTGACCACAGCATTGTTCATATTTCTAATCAATATATCAATATATTGACCTAAATCAAGAGTTCTAAAAAATTATCATCCAACTACATAAACAGAGCTTCAGAAGATCCCCGAAAAAAGCACTTTTATGAAGAGCATACAAATGTAGCTCAATCCAATATAATTGAAGTCAAACCCAACTATTTCTCTCCAAGAAAATAATAAATCTCTCCATATTTAAGAAATGACATGCAGTATAATAAGTGATGCTTATCATTCAAGGATGTAAAAACAAAATCAGATGTAAGTGAAAATAAGAAATAGATTTTTCTTACATCGCAAATAAAGATTTATGGCATGACTCAAGAATCCACTTCCTGGTACTCCATTCAACAAAGAAGTTATCGGAATAAATGACATTGAGATCACATCAGGCTCCAACTGAACAGTATGCAGCCATTCGTTATGAGGTAGGTTCCGATTGTCACTTCCACCTCTCCTCTTGCAAATGCTGACAATGTCCTGCAATAAAGTAATTACTGCCCAACTAACTAGAGCATTCCCCACCTCCCAACCATCCCTCTCCACCCTCACTACAAACAAACACAGAAACAGCTATGATGTTAAATGATAAGTTCAGTAACATACCTGTTTATGTGCGTACGAACTCGATGGACTGTTATGTGCAAACCTAAGCCGCTGCTCCCTTATTTCAAACTGGCACAAAAAGATTCTATAATATGAATGCAAAGATACTGAAGCAGGACAGTTTCCCAAAATTTAATTCAATGATACTTTGCAGATTAAACAGACTTCTAACTAACTCAAAACCAACAAGATCAACCATGCGACAAGCAGGGAGACAGTTGAAACCCATTTTGTTATGATCCTTTTTCTTTCTCTTTTTTTTTTTTTGCGTATACAAAGGTTATTCACGGTCATTACTAACTATACCTGGTGGGGCGGGAGGAGGGAGGTAGAGAGGATCTACATAGAATAACCACAACGCTCTACAAAGCCAAGTGACAAATGGTAGCCCTCACCATGAGGCCTTGCCTATTGGTGGATGAGGTACCAGTCCCGAGCCTAACTCAGCCAACCAATTCCTACTTACTATGGACAAGAAAAAGACAAGAAAGCTATACCCTTGACCTGTAAACCACCATCAACTCGACGAGACTTGCTACTGGAGATTCAAAGCCAGACATTGAGAGAGAAATGCTAGACTAACTTTCATACCACATTACATGATTCTTCCAAAAGTATGCTAGACTAACTTTCACCAACAAGTCTCTTTCTTCTCCTCCCAAAGCAATTATCTAAATTTATAGCAATCAATTTAAATGAAATGCTCACGATTTGGTAGAAAATGAGATGGACAACAACAAAAAAAATTTATTTTCCCTAATTTTTTAAATATAATGAAAACTAATGATGTTTAATTCGTTATCTGTAAGGACACAATATGGATAACATTGAAAAAAAATCTCTCTCTAATATTTTTTAAGACTACTCCTCAAATCAAAAGTAAAGATTGTAAAAAGCATCAGTAACCTTAATCATGGGATCAAGAAAAAGACAGATGACATATAATCTTTTCCCAAAATAATTCCTCATTAATCATGCGTTAATGGCCCAGCACCACTCGGGGAGATTTTACCTTCTCCGTTATCCTAAAATATACTTAAGGCAACAGACGTGCTGAACCGCCAATGTTAATTTTGTTATCCAACCATGAAGAACAGGAATTTAGATTATACCAAGTACACTTCAAATATAAATATACCAACAAACTAATAGCAAACCTTGTCATTTGCGTAAATTTGTTCAGAAGCCATGCTATTTTGTCCACTGGAATCTAAAAACCTCCTATCTGCCATTTCTTTTAACATTTTCTGTACATCAGCAGGTTGAAGATTTGAGGAATGCTGCTGCTTTGCATAAATTACATCCTTCCCTCCCATCTTCACGCCAACAATAATATGGGTACCATATGTCTCGATAAACCTGGCATGAAGAACACATCATAATTTCATTATGGATTTGAAAGCAAAACACTGTAAGTATTAATAAATACAATAATGAAAAAAAGAAAGTGATGAATGTCTGTAGTGACAGTACCAAATTCTGATATAGGCTGTAATAATTTTGAGTCCGTCATCCCACAATCATCCTGAGGATAGATAACAGTTTAAGCAAGTTTAATTGAAGTATGGTTAGGGAAGTTTTATTTGCTGGAGTTCTGATGCTGGCTATACATATGCGCTTCAGTCCTGAGTCCTTGGTCTTGGAAATTTCCAATCAGTTGGTTTCTTAGTTATAATCTTTTTTTTTTCCTTTCTATTTCTATTTTCCTTTTTATTTTTTATTGCTAGGATATATTGTCATTGCTCTTGTCAATAATCTTTTGCCATCCAATATATATAACAGACACGTTAGCCGCAGGATAGCTATGCTTGGCAAAATTGCCTAATGCTGATTGAGGTTCAAGCTTTAACCAGTAAATAAAGCTATCTAGTCATATTTTCAAGCTAAAACATGCAAAGGAGCTTTATTATGAAGTTCTTGGACACAGCATCGCTCATGCACACACACATCAACTGTAGGATAGATATGCTTAGCAAGAACACATGATGCTAATCAAGGATAAGCCTTCAAATAAATCATGTTAGCTACTCAGCTTTTTTATTTAAATCATGCAGAAGAGCTTATTATCAAGTTCTTGGTTCTGGTATAAGTACCCCAAAAGAATTTAATAATATGAAACATGTAATCAGACAATGTTGTTCAAGAAAACAGTTTCAGAGTTAAAACTCCACCTTGCTAGTGCAGCAGGTTCCCAAGATGATGGGACAGCTTTCTTTACATGATCACGGAGTACTATTTGAGATTTTTGCAATGCAACCGTGTAGAGAGTAATGAATACCCCATCAAAAGCAAGGGCCTTAGTGTATGCAGCATCTTTCTGCCAACAGCTTGAGAATTCAAACATAGAATTGAAGAGACCTGATGGGATCTTCCCAGTCAAAGATATATCCTGGTTGAACTGCTCTGCCATCTAAGAAGAAGACGAAGAAGAAGATAAAGGATAAAGTACAAGAGTGCGTCAAAGGATAGTGAATAGTCTGTTCTACTGCCCGTTATTTGCAATATATCATAAATGTATTTGTGATTAAAAAAATAACTTCTTTTTGTGACAAGGAAACTAATTGCATATGATTTCTTCTGTTTCACAGCTAGAGCATCAATAGAAGGATCAATTCGTATAAGAAGGGTTAAACAAATGTTAAATACTGAAGATAAATGCTAATTATGCAACAAAAAATTTAATAGGTAAGATCACGATAAATTATGTGAGATAACATCCAATTACCTGTTGGAAAGAGAGAACATCAGACCTAAACCGAGTACGCTCCCCTTTATCACATTTGATTGATTTGGAAACATTTGGGATAGAAATGCCACCAGGTAAAACAATCTCAAGACCTCCATCTTCAATCTCGATTAACCGGGAATCCTTGGAATCACCTTTACAGTACTTCAGCCTCAGATCAACTGCTACATCATAGCCACGCCCAATAGAATTAATTGCAATCTCAGCTGCCTTTGGAGCCGGAACCCTAAGTGCCATTCCTCAGAACATAACTCTTCTTCAATAAAACCAAAAGCAACTCTACAAATAAATTTGGATAAACACAATTAGCAAAAACCGATCCAATTCACACATGTGAATCAAAATCCAATCGCTTCAGATTCACTAAATTCACGCAGGTCTCTCAGGTGAGGAAAACGTAAATATTTAGCTCAAGTGAATCCGAAACGCACGCTATTTCCACAAAGAGAACTAACGTGAACTCAACGTATAATTCAAAATATTCGTATTTAGCTGTAACATCTTAGACTTGGAGTATTTCGCATCCACAGACCAAATCCTATCCCCACATACAGCTCAAAATTATACACTTTTACCAATAAAAAAAAAAAAAAACACACCTAACTCAAACTATCGCTAAAAGCAAACAAAGTCTTGAACATAAACTAGATCCAAACATTTCATGCAGCGAAGTATAGGAACATCAGCTCAAACTTACAAATATTCATGAGAGAACAAGATTAGTAAACATCAGTTAAAGATCAAACCACTCATATCCAGCGCGAATTCCTGCAGATAACTTACATTGTCTACAGCATAAAACGAAGATTGAAGTTGAAAGATGTCTCTTCTTAATCCTCAAGTAAATCCAAAGATTAAACCCAAAATCACAGTCACATTTTCCAGAAAGTAGCTCCTTGATCGAGGATCTTCAGAAGTCGGAGCTACAGCAAACTGTGAGATGTAAACTCGATTCTAAAGTTTAAAGAGAAGAAAAGAGAAAAAGAAAAGGAAAAGAATAGTGAAAATTGAGAAGAAGAAAACCCTAAAAATCCAGGGAGAGTAAAATGTGTGTCGTTTTCGGTAGTTTTGAGTAAAATTGCGGTTTGACTGAGATGGGAGATTCTATTGACATGTGAGATGGAGACTCAAGTGGTTTGATCATCATAACTACATTTTTTTTTCAACGGGAACATGTGATAGTACGACGGCTGGTTAGCTAACATCAAAACAACAGCCAATCACATCGGTGAAAATACAAATAGACAAGGAATTAGTGCTTAATCTCATCAACCATCACAACCCAATCCAATATATTTCTTTTGTTATTTTAATTTGTTATAGTTATGTTAATAGATATAATATATTATATTAATAAATATGATTAGTATATATTATTAAATATGTTAGTATATATATATATATATATTTAGTTTTTTTGTTATATTAATATAATAAAATAAGCAAGTTGACTTTTAGGTTTGATAACTTGCAAAATTAATGCGGTTTAAAAAATTAAAAAAATAAATTAAACCATTTCGAATTGGGAGCATTCGAGTTTATTCTTCGTAGAGTAGGTCAGTTTTGAATTTAATAAAATATGCTTCAAACTCATCTTTATTCTGTTACATTAATGTTATAATTGAAGAGTATCTCAATTACTTTTAATATTGCTACTATGCACATATTTTTTTTTACTTTAACTCTTGAAGCATTCTTATATTCTATTTGAAAGTAACGTAACGATTACTTATTTTTTTATTAAATAAAATAATAGTATAATGAAATATTTGCTTAGAAAGAATATAATAAAATTGTAATACAACTGTAACATGATGACTTTTCTATTGAGAAATGAGCAACTCAACACACATAAATTAATAAATTTACGCAATAATATATTAAAATTTAAAATTAACTATATATCTCTTGTTCGGAATTACAAGTCGTGAGACTTACAGAAATCTTTACATTATCTTACCACCATTTAATTAGTTATATGTTATAAAATAAAACTCTTAAAATTACTAAAAGATTTTTCATGTCTTCCTTTGACATAGAACTTGTTGCTGATATGAAATAATTTGTATTAGGAAAAGTGTGAATTGGGGTGAGATTTATGTGCTCAGTCAGAAAAATAGACAATGCCTAAAATAAAGACATGCACACACTTAATCATATAACATCGATAAACTTGATGCATATTTTATTTAAAACAAAATCTCAATCATGAAAACAATACAATAATAATAATTTCACATAACCATAACTTGACATTCTCATACATCACAACTTCACTTTCACATATCTCATCATTCACATATGATTTCTCAAACATCACATATATTCTAAAATCACACTCATATAAACCAATGAGTTCATAGAAATACCGCTCACTAACTTCATAGAAATTACATTTATACTTTTTAACAGTTCCTTACACTTATCACTATATATGTCAATATCACTTTCACTTTACATTGTTCACTCATTACTTTTCATTTACACTTTCTTTTTTAGTTACATTCTTATTATGATTTACAATTTCTATTTTTATGTCTTTTACAAATTTTATTGTGCGATACTATTTCTACGAACATCAACGAGAGCATTAAAGATCATCTTTACCATATGAATACATCACTTTATTTATCACTTGTCACTTATCACTTATCACTTTTTCAATGAACTTGAATACGTAACAGTTATGCATTGGATATCACTTATCATTTTTCATATGTACCCGAACACAGAATGATTATGTATGAGATTTTTCAACTATGTATAGCTGAGGTCATATCTATAGATAGGGTTCACCATACTTTACTTGCCAAAATGATTACACATACACACACACTTCCCTATTTAATACCAGTTAAACGGATTTTTATGTCTCTTAAATGTTTTATTATTATTTTCCAAATTAATCTTATCACTCTAACACCCATGACATATATTTAACAGCTTACTTACCTCTACTTCATGTAACATACACCACACAGTAACTCTAAACTATTTTCTTGCACAAATACACACACCATTTATTCACAACTATGTACACATATACAAACACTCATACACATATGGTTTTATATACATACATATCCATAAGATACATTCACCTAAGTATCATATTGCAAATAATACATTTATACTACCTATCATATCTGTATACTTGCATATTTACACAAAATATACCACAAACATGCACATATAAGTTGTTCACTCACACGTATTAACAATATAAATACATGCTTCATAAAACTATATATATGTATACATATACGCATCATGCACACATACAACTCAGTAATTTCGCATGTATAAAATCTGCATATATGTACTAGTAATAATATGCATACATGAATGTAAATCATACACAACATCATAGAATTTCTGAATCACATGCAATTCCATGCACACACATGATAAGTTCATGGAAATCATACTATAAAACTTAAATAATCTATAATGTTTGTAAATAATTCATTTTAACAGAAAAAAAAGCTTTATAAAAACATGAAAGTCTTTGAATGAGACTAACCCAATCCTTTATCTAAAATATAATTGGAGGGATGTTGGAATCTTTATTAGTTCAGATTTACGATCCTTTACGATCCCCTCCACGTCCTAATTACTACCCAAATATTTTTTTCGTTCACAAATAAAAGATATACACGTTAAATGACAAACACTTTTGAAAATAGATACAACACCAAAGCAGATAGATTTTTACCTTGGGCACGCGATCTTGCTCACTAGAGTCCCCATACGCCACCACACGTGTGTTCTCAATTCACCACCCGCTGCCTCACACGCAACTGCCAGAACCAACATGCGCCACTAGAACCATTTACGAGTCGTCATGCTTAGGCTAAGAATCATCACAAAACCACTTATGCGCTCAGATCCGGTAAAGATCTTGTGGAATCGTGCGAGGAATGCACTAGGGATTGCAAAATCGTGTCTAGGTGCCACCACATGTCTCTTTTTTCGGTCGCACACTACTGCACAATTTCCTCTATGGCTTTTTGTTTTCGGCGCAGACAAATTGATCTCTCAAATTTGGCATATATTTTCGTGTACTAGATAACCCCTTTTCGTCGTGCATCAATATTCTTCTCTAGTTTCTTCTCTCTCTCTACATGCGACTCTCATTCTTTTTCTATACAGATCGAAATCTACTCTTTCTCTATCCTTTCCAATTCTTCTATCTACATGACTCTCATTTATAAGTAATTATGAGGAGATTCCCGCAAGCCATTTCTTCTTCTTCAATAAGTCCTGTGTCAATCTCTTCTTCTTCTACTACTACTACTAAAGACGTACACGCCTCTGGTTCTTTTTTTTTCTTTCATCAAAATAACATTTATTTCGATCCCTTTTTTTTTTCTCGATGCCCATCTTTAAAACGACGTTGTTTTAAAGCAGGTAGGCTGGGTCCTAGTTTTTGGGCCTAGATATTACAACAATTATGATTAAATAGATTTTAGAATATTTTGATTGAAATATATTAATGGTATCTAAACTTACAAGAGACAATCATGTAAATATTTTGATCGAATAATTTATTGAATATGATTCTTGTTTTATTTGTGTATTCTTATTGTGCATTAAAAAATATTTAAAAACAAAAAATAAAATAATATACCTATTAGAACTAATGTAGTATTAATGCAAGTTTTATCGGTCTTTTTATTAATATCTAACATAACAAATAAATTTTTGTGTAAGGACAAAACAAGATAGTCTAAAAATGAAACAATAATTTTTGAAACTTACATAACCCAAATTGAAATCAATAGATCCCCAAAAATCAAACAATGGATGAACAATCTAATAGCTTTTGTTACATCATAATGCAACTAATCATGTAATCTATTGTATAATATATGATATTCTATAAATAAGATAAAAGCTTTTGCAACTTATACCAATAAAATGAAAACTTTATAATTATTATTTAAAGTGAGAAA